TTTTTATTTTTTATTATTTTTTTATTTTGTTTTTTCCAAGTTTAATCATTATAATAATTTGGATTCTCTGTTTTTATAAGAAAACTTCAAAAAACAAATTTGGCTTCCTCCTCGATGAGTTAATTTTCATTGGTTATGGGAGAAGAGTTCCCTGTAATTATGAGTTCACACTTTGGTGATTATGATTATAGGATGAATAAAAAGCTTCTTTGATTTGTTGGGTCGTTTTTTTAAATTATTTTTTTGTGCCTTGTAACAAAAGTCTAATAGGTTTTCTTCAAACACACACTAATAAGGGGCGTGATGGCAGGCCTTTGAAAAGTTCTATTAAAATTTGAACTTTGCAGTGAAAATGTTGCTCTTAGTTCAAACCTGAGGTTTTGTTTTTTCTGGACCAACAAGACTGTGGTTCTAAAAACGTGGTTGAAAACCTGAAAGTGTAGCTGCAGTCTCCATGATGGCTTAGACAGTTTGAGTCAGTACTAATTAAATATTACTGATTAATGAACTAATTAAGGTTGATTAAGTTGTATGTAAATTATACCCATCCCACATTTCATTAACAGGGTCCAGTTTCTATCAGTGCTGATTAAATTTCATGGTGTTTCCATTAAATTTTTCTTATACAGTACTACAAATATACTTAATATTTTATTAAATATAGGAAGCTTTGTATACACCTGAAAATGATCAGTTTTAAATTACTAGAATGGTTGTCATAAACGTATTAAAACTTTGAGGTTCCAGAGTCCAATAACTAATACTGTATGTTTCTTTATCTGTTATAAAACAGATGTTTTTCTTTTGCACTATCAACCGGTTAATGATGACTGAGGGGAATTGGACCCATGGATGCATWTTGACATGAGGAGCTTATATTAAAATACACTTTATTCTAACAAAATAAGCTGCTGTGGCAGCAAAAAACTACAAAAAACCCAACACGATGCACAGGGAGGCACAAGCAGAACAGGCAGTGTGWTGCATTCTGTGTTTTTACCTGCAGTCCAGTTGGTTCCTGTGGTGATTTGTCCGCAGCTGCTGCTCGTTCTCCTGATGAGCTCCTGAGCTTTATAAGGCCTTCTCTGAGTGCTGCTCTTTGCTGGAGCAACACACTATGATGGTTAGTGTCTCAGCCGCTCATGTAGTCTGTTTACCTGAGTTTTCCTGACGTTCTCTCTGTGTATTTGTGAAGATTCACTAGACGATAACAAGTCTGCCCCCCCTTGAGCTTCTCTGTGGAAGACCTTCAGCCTGCTGCTGCATGTTAACCTTACCTGGAACTAGCTCCTGAATCTGTCCTCTTTTCTGTGCTGTTTGCCTCCTGGAGTTATGTAAGAAAACAAACCAACTAACAAACCAGTTCCCCTGAAAACAATACTTACCTGCTCCTTCCCTTCCAGCTTGAACTGGACCTTCACCTCCACCTAGTACGTCGTGCTGGAGCAGAGGTGGGCAACAAGGGCTGCAGCCCTGCATGTTTTACTTGTTCCTCTGCTCCAACACACCTGATTTGAATGAAAGGTGATTATCAGGCTTTCTTCAGAACTTGGAGGTAATTCACTGACTGAATGCAGGGCTGCAGTTAATGCCTTCTCAGAATGGTCTGTACTTCTCATCCAACCACCATTGAATTCACTCTATTTAGGTGGTGCAATTTATCTTAGTGGATTTTTTTTCCTAATTAACTTTTTTAATGTAGGTAGGGAGTAGAAAATACAGAAAACTGTGTGAAAATGTAAGAAGTAGAAGTTAAAAAGTAGACTGACAAGAATATTTAGGTATAGATAACCAAAATGTCTACTTAAGTACAGTAAGAAAGTATTTGTACTTATATACTTTACAACTCTGAGAACTGGACATGGTGTAATGCTCACCTGATGCTGGAGACTGACAGATTAACGAGAAGGATGCAGATGAGCCTTAATGGAATGAGGAACAGGTGTAGGTGGGCATGGTAGGACAGAGGAGCAGACAGCAGACACTCGCCAGTCACCAATTACTTATAGTTCCACTAATCAAACACAACCTTAAAGAAATGTTCTGTCAAATATGTAGTAACATGCACTGGTGACAGTTGTTAACTATCAGAAAGCACAGAGTGTGGAGACATATCCAAACTCTTCGTTCGGTTTCAGCTCAGTTGATTTGTTTTCAAACAAGGATTCAGAAAATAAAAGTCCATCTGTGGAGAATCTGATGTTTTGGCTGCATGGGAGGAGCCTCCACTACTCACCTGTTCTTAATGAGACCACTGGTATTTAATCAACCATTCTTCACTGGAACATTCTGTTGACTTTGGTCAACATTAGTGACAGCTGCTAGACTGGGTTTGTAATCTTTTTGAGTAATCTTGTTTTTGCTTGTGTTTCAAAGACCTGTTTCTCCTGAGTTGCTGAATTTACCCAATACTTACCTTTTATTATAGTCCATGTGAAGTCTCTGTCGCTGTGTCAGTTGAACTGTTTCGGGTAACCCGATACCATCCACTCACCCACTTATTTTCATTTGTTTATCTGACACTGGGTTGTGGAGGTAACGGTGTTTAAAAAAATCTTTCCCAGCAACCCTCTCCTGGAGGATCCCAGGATGTACCGGYCAGAGAGGATAAATAATGCCTTCACATGTCCAAACTCATTGACATTCATTGTATCTGAGCACCAAATTTTCCTTTTCAAAGCTGGAAATTAAAGTTATTTTTGTCCCATCCATCCATTTTCTGTACACGCTTCTTCCTTTTCAGGGTTGCGTGGGTCACTGGTGCCCATATCCAGCAGTCACAGTGCGAGGGGCGGGGTACACCCTGGATAGGTTGCAGGTCCATCACAGAGACCCACATAGAGACAAACGAGACAAACAACCATTCACTCTCTCACTCACACCTAGGGACAATGTAGAGTTATCAGTTAACCTAACAGTCATGTTTTTGGTCTGTGGGAGGAAGCCGGAGTACCCGGAGAGAACCCACGCATGCACGGAGAGAACATGCAAACTCTACCCAGAAAGGTCCCCGGGACCGGGATTTGAACCGGTGACCTTCTTGCTGAGAGGCATCAGCTCTACCAACTGAGCCACCGTGCCACCTATTTTTGTCCCATCTCCTATAAAATACTGTAAACACACTTAAACAATATGATAATTAGATGGTTCTGCCAGTTCAGGAATTACTTTTAGTTCATCTTATTTTTGCAGAGTGATTGCTTGAGCCTCACTTTCTAGTCTGCCTTTCTTGTCCGCCTGTCTTGCTGGGAGGGCTGAAGTTCATACGTTAAAATGTTGGCATTTTGTTGTCTTAGATTTCTAGAAATAGACGTCTGAAATTATTGTAATAGAAATAATTTTTCATACTTACGTTGATTACACAAGAGTTTAGTAGTTCATATACTGTATATAAAAGTGATGTCTGAGCAGGATTTTGTTGTCCAGCTGTCATCAGAGCRGATGGGAATCCCACAGGAGAAGCTGGTAGAGACAGGGTTACGGTGTCTCTGTTCCTGCTGCTGTCACAAGCTTGAAAAAGATGAGCATGTATGCAACACATCACTAGAGAGTTTTTCCTTATGTTTCTTTTTTCAGGAACATGTTTCCCTTGCTGATCCTGTTGGGAGCTTTCCCCACAGAACCTATCCCTGTTGCCTGTTGTTTTTGTCAACCAGCATGTCTCCTCTGCTCCCCAGCAGAGCTCATAACAAGATGGGTTAGGACAGTAATAAAAGAACAGATCTCAATAAGAATTCTCAGTCAAAATCAAACAAGACAAATTTCTCAAAATGTTCACAGGAGAGCATTCAGCATCTTGAGTGTTGACCAAAATATAAAGGAACCAAAAATTGGAACTATTAGCTCTACATTAGCTTCTCAATTGGTGTTAACAGGTTCTAGCATTTGATACCTTGYGAATACCCACTGCTCTTAAGGTTAGATTAGACTGAGGTTTGTAGGGAATTTAGGTCAGGGATAGGCTTTAGAATTTAATGAAAAATGAATTGAAGTCAATAGAAAGCTCCTGTGATGATAGAAAGACGTGAAATTCAAATACGGCTCCGGAGTGTTGGGAGACCAGGTTTTCCAGAGAGTCTCAGGGACTGTTTTGATATCTATTTAATAACTGATTAGCTCACATAACATTGGAGACCTTGTTGAACCAGAGAGGTCTACTTCACGTCATTGTAACTACATTTTAAAGTTTTCTGGACTCAACTTAGACTCCCAAGTGATGTAGATGGGTGTGGTCAGTCAGTAGACATGTTTTTAGCGGCCAAGCAAACCAAACTCTAAACACATTTTTTATGAATAAAAAAAAGGCAGTTTTATAAAACATCAGTTTACTCTGTGTGAAAGACTGTTTAGCACAAAGTAGACATTCCATCTGAATGTGGCTCTGTTTAAGCTCTGCTGTAAAATGAAAGATAAGACCCACACACAGATTTGAAAAGAGAGACTTCTATTGTTGTTGGTGCTGAATGAGGTGGCCATGCTGTCTGTTGACCAGTGTTGTACAATCACAGTATTCTCCAGTTAGGTTCTAATAACCACTTCATAGCAGGACTAAAGCCTCTGCATGGTCCATCTGAACCCATGAAATCTGCTCTCACTGATGTACTGCAGACATGACAAGTTGTACAAATTGTCTGTAAAATACACTGATTTTCCTTCATTATGCAGGTATACAGATGTATAGGGCAATCATTTTTTCCCCAAAACTTTCCTTCAAATCAAAGAGCCTGCAGGCTGTAAGGAAATAATTTTGCTACCTCCATGCAATTATCTGTGCCACAACCTCTCTCCAAGCACAACACCCTTGCTAAACTCTGTAGCTAAGCTACTACAGATTAAATTTTTTTTGAGAAAATTACAAATTTACCAGGATCAATGTACAGGTAAATGTCTAAAGGGGTTGACGTGTCGTGTGATGAAAGTTTTGAAAATTTTGTTCTCAGTCTCGTGTGGCCTGCCCCATTCTTGGCACAATATGAAACTGTTGTGTGATTGGTCAGAGCTTTGTTGGTGTATTTGTTTAGGCTGAAAGGCACTCGGACAGCAATGGTGCCATTTCGCTTCAAATATGTTGCTTCGAGATGCCGACTCTTGTTTGTTCAAACAGCATGGATAGTTTTGAGTGGCAGTTGTCTGAGGCAGTCAGAAAACACGTCCATCTATACGACTCTGTCAGACTCTTCAAAAGACAGTCAAATGTCCAAAATCTCACAGATGGAGAGAGCACAGACGCCGTGCGCAGAGGAGTCGATCTGATGAAAAGTGTGGCGCTCWATTCATGACAGATTTGTGGCCAAACGACAGGGTGGAGTCTCCAGTGGGAAGAACCCCATGTTGTGACGTGTACAGCAGGGGGAGAGGTTTCATAGCGCTTGTGTCTCACAGACTCTGACAGGTGTCTAGAAAACAAATGTTGACCAACCATGCGACAGCTTGGCTTCAGATGGTGCATGCTGAGCCCTCAATAGTTCTTATAACCTACAGAAAGTCCTTAGAACACAATCAAGGGGTGCTGCAGCACCCACTGCATCCCTACTTTCCCTGGTCTTGCATGCTGATGTGTTTTGGACTATTAGTTGTGTTTTCTGCTGGAAGATCTTGTCGCATGCTGAGCCATATCCAGCCTGTTGTTTGTTTGTTTTTTCATCTTGTAAAGTAATAAAAGGTCATGACGAAGACAAAGCTGCAGAGTCATAAGAAATAAAAACCATGACACCAGATTTTTTTCCAGCCATAGTCTTAGCCTTGGAGATGAACGAGTTGTTGGTTCAGTGTTAGAGAGGTTTGGTTGAAGCTTCAGCCGTGTGTCAGAGTCCAGCTGAGAACTGGTCTGAAGGGTCATCTGTTCCACCACCGCTGCTATTTCTGACCACTGATGTCATCTGAGATTATTTTGGTTTCCTGAGAAAGTTTCAAGTCAAACACTTCCTGCACCCTGAGACTATCCGGAAGAATGTGTGTTTATTTGCTGATTCATGCGAGCTGGATGCTGGCAGCACTCCCTGCAGCTGGATTTAGAACCTTGAGCCCTGACTGGAAGCAGAACCCAGGACGTACTGTGTCCTGACTTTCTAGGGAAACGCGGGCGGAGGAGCAGAAAGAGATGGCAGTACTCCGAGAAGGTCCGAGGCCTCGGTACGTCATCAGTGAGGCAATGTTTTCAGATCTGGGCAGGGAGTTGATTCATTCACTCAGCCAGGAGGCAGGTCATTCACACAGAGCTGGCTCTGAATTAGAACAAACGTTCATAAAGCAGCAACAGATGTGGTGAAGGATACAACAAATGTTTTATTCAGAGGGGCAGATAAAGTGGCCAAATTGTTCCTCTCCTTTTCCCCTCACAGGATTTCAAATTTCGATTAATCTCACCACAGAAGTTTTCCACTTTGCTTCGGCTCGTTCTAAATGAGTCCAGAGAAGGCGGTTGTGTTTCTTCACATTCAAATATGGCTTCTTCTTTACATGATAGAGCTTTAACAAGCATTTGTGGAAGACATATAGAACTCTTATTTACTCTATTTGAACCCACCTGTTGTGTAATTGAATCAGAAGACATTTAGGCCTCCCTGTTATCTCCTTGACCTTAACGATGCATCTGGTCTTTGGTGTAATGGGAGTTCTGGTGTCCGACACACTCTGAGGAACACCAGGAATTTCTGCACAGTACAGGCGAAGCTGTGTTTGGCTTTATTAGTGCTGTCCGTCTGGGTGATGACAGAACAGCAGCGAATCACTCTGATGGGCTGAAGGAAACTAAAGCACATTAAGAAGCCGGGTCACTTGTGCCGTCTGTGAGTGATATGATGTGGTGATGAACGAAACTTGGGCTTAATGAGCCTTACCTGAGTGTCACACTGTTACTAAAGCTGTGAAGACACCTGACGGTACGAAGCTGCAGCTTTTCGGTCCTCCCTTATAAAACGGCTGCTGCATAAATAACTTTTGTGTAACTTWATCGGAAAGCAAGTCCCTGCCATCCTTATCAGTCTGCTGCCATGGTCTTTACTTTAAACCTCGGGCTCTGGATGCTCAGATAACACGATCCGGCTTAATAAAAGACAAGCTTTGTTGTAATAAAAAAAAACTAGAGATAAAAAAATAAAAAAATAGGGCATTAGGAGTTCAAGGTCGTTTTCCTGCTGGTGGAGGAAACAAATGCAGGGGGAGATCTCAGGATCCTCCCAGCACACACTGCAGGCAAACAGGATGAGGGAATGCACTTTTGTGCACCTTTAGCTACTGATGTGCTGAAAAATCAGAGCACATCCTTTACTTTTCATTACAGCGTTTTCAAACATAAAGTGTGGGTGTTGTTTAGAACTGAGTGCAACACTAAAACAGGACAAAAAGGTTCCATATTGAAGCCTGACAGGAAAGAAAAGTGATCGGTTTTACTCCACATCTCCAAAGTCCACTGAAAGAAAACTGAGGCGTGTTCCCTCTATTTCAGATGTTGCTAAACTTCTTTTGAATTTGTGAATTTTCTTTGTGGTGTGTGATTATTTAAATGAATTATAACTTGACAAAAAAATGAAAAAGTTGAAACCTACATCCAGGGGTGGAGATAAGACCTTTTTTGCACGGAGTGGCACCGGGCACACAAAGAAAAGCAATCTGGATTAGAAAATTCAAAATGGCCACCACAGCTAATCTCAAATGGCTTTAAATCAGCTGWTTTAAGAAATATTGAGCTGAAATTTTGTGTGATCATAGCGAAGAATGATCTGAAAAGATGAATAGTCACAACTTTTATTCAGCCACTTGTAGACAAAGCTGGAGATTCGTGTAGAAGTAGCTGAAAACACTCTTTACCAAATTCTAAATGCTAATCAATAATTCAAGATGGCCAYTACAGCTAACTTTAAATCGCTATAATTCAGCTAAGACTTGATCAGAGGAAATTTGTTGTGGAGTACCTAATAACCACATGCCAATTGCTGATGCTAACCCCTAATGCTAATTTTACAAAGAGCTATAATTCAGCAATTTCAAACATACTCAGCTGAAATTTTATACTGTATACAGCAGTATCAGAGAACTATCTTTAACAAAACCTAAGTGCATATACAAAATCCAAGGTCCCCACCCACTTATCGATTATTTGGGGGAGGCAGGTGCCAGGGATGACACTTGCCTAGTTGGTCACCCCTGTAACTTCGCCCCTGCCTACATCCATTTAGTTTCTCTGCTTGACAATTCATTGTCGAAGTTGTTAGTAGATGTCATTAAAAAAAAAAAAAATCAAAAATAAACTTTGTTTGCTATTCAGCCAGTATTTCATTTCTATCACTCTTGGTGCAGCTTTGTGGCTGAATCTTTAACCCTGTGATGACTTTCAGTAATGACAGGCTCACATTAGCTTTGTCCTTTCTACAAATTCACTCAAATTCTTGAAATCTTTTGATGCGATTATGATCTGTAGGTGATGGAATGCTCAGTCTTCCCAGTTTTCAGCAAGGAYTATTATTCTGAAAAATTTTCTACAATTTTTAGATCATTTTTTTCTCTGACAGGTAAACCTCTGCCCCCTTTTTCCTTCTGACTGAGTTTCTCTAATAGGCAGCAGGTCAGTAAGAGGACTGGGCATAAAAAAATGCATTTTAAACTAATTAGCTGCAAAATGCTCCTCCTTCTGTTTCTTATAGGTACAACTTACTTTGAGAATCTATAGCTGCTTCTGTTCACACCTATTTCTGACGTATTGTTGCCACACAACTGAAGATGACATTTTTCTCCCTTTAAAGTATTATTTCACAGATCAAACATTTTCTTTACTGTGYTCTGTTGAGAATAAAATTTGTGTTTTAGATTTGCAAATAATTGCATTTTATACACTGTCCCAACTTCTTTGGAGTCAGGGTTGTACGATAAAAACTGTTGGACTGAGTCTAACATGAAGGTTGTTTAATGACTCCAATAAAATTCAACTTCCAAAATAAACAATAACAAAAAAAATTAATAATCCAAAAAGCAGCATTTAACTGTTAAGATATTTTACTTCTTGATGTTTTACAGTTATTGTTGATATTTTATTGTAAATATAAAAAACTTCATGATTACAGATATGCTTAGGACTGATGGAGAGTCAACATGTAAGTGAGAACAGGGGTTTCTGGGTGGGGTCACTGGGATTGGTTGCGCAGCTTCCCGCTCAGCTCCTGCAGCTCGGCGATGAGCCGCTCCAGAGCAGCGACGCCATCCTGCAGCTCAGCATGGACCTGACCTGTGGCYACATCTGTGTGCATTTGCTGGAAAAAAAAAAGATGCAGGACATGAGAGAAGAGTTTGTAACAATGAATCTAATAAATGTTCCACTGTTTTGACGCACCTTAGCTTTAGTGGTCAGACTCCTGAGGCTGAGGCGGGCGGAGGACAGCATCTGAAGAGCTTCTGATGGATGACTCTTTCTCTCGCTGCAGCTAATTGTCACTAAAAAAACAAAAGGACAGATTCAGAGATTAAAAACCCCAAACTGTGAATGCACAAACTGTCATCACTGCAAGTCCATTCCTTTCTTCTCAATCTAAACTTAACTTGAACCAAACAAAGGCTCACTGATGATTTATACCTGTGTTTTTATTATACACCACAGCAGCGTGCTCCAGCAGAGTCCAAAACACATTGTGCAAGGCAGAAGGGAAGAAGAAAACATGCACTGGTAGCAGCTTTAAAAAAAATCTATAAGACTTCCTGGCATTTCTTTTTCTTTCTGTTCATTCAACAAAGGCCAAAAGTTAATGTTTTATCAGGATCTTTTTTCAGAACTTTATTAAAACAGATCATAAACATCAGAACCACGACCTAAATGAGAAACTTTCTGTCAGACCCTCAGATGTTTTCTTTTCTTTCTGACAACAAAAACAAAAAATGGTGAGAATGAGAGCAGCTTTGTTTAGAATTTGATTGTATTAAAAACAAAAAAATATGAAGCATTAACTCTTTTTCAGAAAATTCAAAAACTTCGAGTGAGCGTAAAAACTTTTTTGCTAAATTGAGGATTTTCTAATGTGATCTTTCAAAATGCGTATAAAAAACGTTGAGGGGAACACAGCTTACTCAGAGCTGATGACCTTTCTGTGAACAAAACTGCTTTTATATTCCAAGGTATGCAGAACAGARTCTGAGTGCAGCCATTACAAATATCTTTAGGAATWGTTTCTGTTTTTAAGTAGCCTTCCAGCCTTTTTTCTGGTAACTTCTGAAGCACAGAGGATGTCTGAGAAGAATGCAAAGGAAATGTGAGATCGTGCAATAATCCAGTGATAAATGTGGAAGTCTGACCAAATTAATTTATTGTGTGGGAGATGGACTGGAAACAACAGCTGAAGCTGCATCGTTCTTGTCTCTGTTTTAGTCTGTTTTTCAAAATAAAACCATGATTTCCATGTATGCTGCATGTTGTCATCTGCTTCCCAAAAAGAATGATACATTTTGACAGCATGTATGTATAAATATATAAATATATTTATATTTATGAATGTAGTTAGAATTTTGACTAAATGTAGTCTGCCTTTGAATTATTTTGAAAATACGGATGTTGTGCTCGTTCCTTTTCCTGTTGGTGTGATGTTATCTTTATATGTTGACGCCACACTTGATCCACCAGATTGGATGTAATTTTGGCTGATGGCCGCGATGCAGACACAGTGTAAATGCTCTCATCAATTATAATGGGTGCGTTTTTACTGTGGAGGTYGGAGCGGACGCAGTGTAAATGGGAGGTTAGATGATTTCTTTTACTGATGTATGCTTTTTGAAATGAAGATGATTTGGATCACTTATTAACATTGTTAATGGCACTGTTTGGCCTAGACATTTGTGGCTGTAGCCCTGGAACTGAAGAAAGAACAAATTAAGCTATTAAATAAAAATGTTTTTATGATATTTACCTAAAAACACAATCAGACTAACTGCTTCATATTATGCATGAAGTGTCAGAGTTCTCTAAATGAAGCAACAAGTTATAAAACCAACAGGAGCAGATGAATTTCTGTTGATGGATGGGTTAAATAAATCTCTCCTGGCAGTATCAGCCTGCCTCGGGGAAACGAGCAGGTCACGTCTGTATCTGCCTGTTGAACTGGTCAACGCGTCCCCCCCCCCATGGAAGGAAGCCCAGCTGTTTCCTGCCTCCTCCTCCCCCCTGGCAGCGCTGCCCGTCTCTGCCTGAGCTGTGACTGGAAAGATCAACCAGTGGTTATTCGTCTACCTTATCAGTCCTCTGCTTTCTAGTCTTTTGGAGTCTGGTCACATGTCGGGTCCAGGACCTGCTCAGAGGGTCCAGTGTGGCGCGCAAACCTGCTTTAGCAACTGTTTCACTTGTTAAGATTCATTCAGAAGGAGTGAAGGAAAACAGAGCAGCAGGGAGGGGGATGAAGCGCGCGCACACACACACACACACACACACACACACACACACACACACAC